GAAGATCAAAAACAAACAATTATATCTATGTGAAGGAGCCGGGTCAGAGTGGAGACCCAGAGCCCATCTGCAGACGATTGGACATTCCCTCACAGAAGGGTCACACGTAATTGATGATTCAGCCAGGGTGCAGTATAACACTGAGGAAACACGCATAATTCTTTTGGTTCTTTAATGCTTTCTCCCCTCCACCCCCACCAACTATCACGACCCCAGTTTTACCTCACATCTGCAGACGATTGGACATTCCCTCACAGAAGGATCACACGTAATTGATGATTCAGCCAGGGTGCAGTATAACACTGAGGAAACACGCACAATTCTTTTGGTTCTTTAATGCTTTCTCCCCTCCACCCCCACCAACTATCACGACCCCAGTTTTACCTCACAAATCTTGCTAAACTGGAGTATGTACATCGGTACAGACAAGAGCCTGTCACCACAAGGAAGCAAGGACAGATAAACCCATCAGAAACAGTATTGGGAATAGCGGTACCATGAGGCGGGGGGTCAGAAGGCATTCACTGGAGACTTAATTCATGTGTGGACCCTGCAAATGGATTTTGGGCTCTCATTGTCATTCATAGCCTTCTGCAGTGTTCACAGTTTAAGCTCTGATACCGCTCCCTCCTTCGGATTCGGATTTTATTATTTCTAATCCCCGGATCACACAGGCTAGTGTGCATCTTCCTTCCATGTGGACTTAGTTGACTCCTCGATTAGATGGTTGCTGGTTTGAAGACACACTTCTAAGAACCTAAACACTATTCCTTCTGTTAGCTGAGCACCCTCTAGTTCCTTCGCCACACTTTGCTATAGCACTCATACCTCTAGCGATCTCTTCACGAAGGTGAGCATCAAGCAGGGCCATAAGACTGTAACTCCTTATGGAGTAAAAAGTCTCATCTTTCTCCAGTCGTTTTGAACTACTGGCCTTGTGGTTAACAGCCCAACCCGCCATCCACAGCATCACCAGGACTTCTTTCTGAGCACAGCAGAAGGTTAAAAAAGTAAATTAGCCTCAGGTGTTAGCCTTGTAGATACACATGTAAACCGGGCTTACTTAAAATGATGAATCTCTGGTGAGACAGTGCACAAAGATTTTATAGACAGTTATTCTTTCTGGCAGTGTCACCCAGTGTGGTTGGCACCCCACCCTGCCCCCAGCCCTCCTAGTACACCACTGAGAAACCTTCAGGGTGGGCAGTGGTTACTGCCAGGGAAACTTCCCAGGAGCAAGGAGAGACTAGCCCAGGACTGCAGTCACCCTCTTTAATCCCTCTGCCTGTTGAGGACAAGAGAAAGGTTAAAGGGTTTTGCACTTCGGAAAACACACACACACTCACACGCACGCACGCACGCACGCACGCACGCACGCACACAGCACCAGGCACAGATATAGCCCTGGCAAACCAATCTCATCCAATCTCCATGATCTCCTCCAATCCCAGGTAAGCACACGCCCACAGCAAATCCATCTGAGTGCACACACAGCACCAGGCACAGATGTCCTCCACCAAAAACCGAGGCAGTTTTTCTTTTATGCCCTTACATCCTTGGTGAAATCTGTGATGAGGCCAGCCGCCCAGAGGTTGAGTGATGGACAGGGGCTCAAGTGCTCCCTAGTCCGCAGCAATGTACATTAACCCCAAAGAAAATTAGCCTCAAAAGTGAGGTTCCCAGCAAGCAGAGGAAGCTGAAAAGCCATAGGAGACTTCATGGGGACCTCTCTCCAAAAAGATTCGGCCAGGCAGGAGCCCCCGCTCCCCCCACCCAATCTACCATTAGCTGAGCGCAGGCCCCCCTCCCCCTATACAGCAAGCAGGCCTTAGAAAGCTGGTGGAAATTTTGAATTCAAAGATAATAGGAACTTTCTGAAGCCACCCCCCACCCCACCCCACCCCTGTATTGAGTACCAGGACTC